CAACTAAACCATTGTAAATAAAATATTTTTTTCCAGTATTGGGGTATTTTTTATTGTGAAGGTATCTTATTAAGTTTCACAAATCAAATTATTGACAAAATTACTTGGATGAATCACCAATTTACACGAAATCTGAAATACATAGAGATGAAGTTAAAAGACAAAAGGCAAATGGCAAAAATGTTAGATGGCAGCATAATTGAAAACTCGACGTCACCATTCTCAACCTCTATCTCCTAAGAAACAAGATGCAAACGGAAAAAGAAAATGGCGTTGCGTTAACGAACGGTCAATAAATGAAAAATACCCCCTCTGAACATTACGGAAATCCTAGACAGATTAGAAAGAGCAGATTCTTTTTTGACACTCTATAGAGCTAGTAGTTTTCACCAAATTAAAGTATACCTTAATGACGTAGGAAAAAACGCATTAAGTACCAGTAGAAGGTCATTTTCGATTTAAATGAATGCTGTTTGGATTAAAAATGCTCATTATATAGATCAAAATGTAATGGATAATCATTTCGAGGACTGATAGACGAAGCATGCATTGTTCATTTTGATCCCATTTTAATTTACAGAACTTCCCTTCAGGAACATTTAGAACGTTTAAAAACCTTATCTGGCGGGCTCAGAAAACATATTTTAAAAGTTCAGCTAGACAAATCAGACGCTAGTAACTTTGCGGTGCAGTTTTATCGCAAGGCAATGTACCAAACTATAGACTTTAAATGACTCGGAGACAAATTACTAGACTATTAAAAAAGAACTACTTGCAATTGTTTGGAGTTTGGAGCAATCATTTCAGACCTTTTTACATAAACAGTAACCATAAACCATTAACGTGATTATTTATTTTAAAACATCCCAACTCTAAATTAGTAAGATGAAGGCTAAAATTAGAAAAGTAAGACAGTAAAATCATTTAAAAAAAAAAGGCAAAAATAATACAAATGCAGATTATTTATCCCGTATATCACTGAACGCATTAAAAAAAGGAATCAATAATTAATAATACCAGAGATTCAGCTAATTACATTTTAAGTTCTTTTAAAAATTTAGCTGAAAATGTTCCAAAAGAAACACAGCCCTCCACAAATAAATACAATAATAATATAATTTCCGATGTGAAAATTCTTTCTTCTACAATTAATGATACACGAAACGATTTAAATACCCGTGAACATTACTGGACAGATGACAGAAGATTTTGACAATTCGACAGAACATTCGACAGCAAAATAAAACTACAAATAACGGCATAGCTATCTTAAATGATATCATAAATAATAAAACACCAAATTTTAGTTCATCCAAATATTAATAAAAAAACTAAAAGGTAAAAATCATAAATTTCAGAAACCGATAATGAAAAATTTATATTTGAATTTCTAGTTGAATTTACTGATCCAAAATAGTTATTTATGCAACAAGTGTGTAAAGTTACCGTTTTTGACAAGTCAAAAAAGGGACTTTACACAAGAGTGGCATACAATATTTTTTCTACTACCGTACACATAATCCACTAATATTAGAAATATAAAAGTTACTTTTTTTCACTAGTGAAATAAAGTACTTTACTTTACGCACCAGTGAAAAGAAGTAAAATGTGCCCAAAATTGTACACAGCAACAAAAATAAATTTATTGGAACTTTACAAATTTATAATTCTTACAGAACAAAATGATTAACAAATGAAGGATTATTTTAAAAAATAGGTTTTTAACTCTTATGAATATTAATATTGAATGTGCAATTATTGTAATTACCAAAACTTAAGGTTTTGGCCTTTTCCAGCACAGAGTTTGAAAAATGTTGTGATATTACTTCTGTAACCCTATTTTGAGCTTCGAGTGGTATAGATTTGGCCTTTTCAAGTAAAAAGGTTGAAATATTTTGTGTAACTCTAGTTTCACTGTCGAGTGGTTCCACTAATTCTTCATTAAAGTTGTCAACGGTAAAATTGTAGCTTTGTTTGGAAGTGGATGGCATACTGTCATCCATCAAAATTTTATTAGAAATTTTGTTTTTTTGTGTTATTGTGCTGTCTACGTAGCCTTCTGCAACAGCAGATGATTTCCATCCTCCATGTTTTTTGACCGTTAGAAGGTCTCCTTCAGAATTTGCCAGCATAGTGGCTGAAGACCTCCTAAAGCAGTGTCTTGTAAAAGCCGTTGGATTGGGCAAGTTTAGATACGTTGCTATAACACTTGGCATTTTACCAAAAGTATTTATCCCTACAGGCTGTTTAAAATATTTTCCATTTGCGAATTTTAAAAAAAATCTGTTACAATTTATATTTGATGGTCTTAATGAGGTATATTTTTTTATGAAAGATAAATAATCAACTGCAGAATTATTTGGATTTAAAATCGTAAAAATGCGTTCTATTCCATTTTTGGTTTCTGATACTTTGACAATATACACTGTTTGTTTATCTTCCACATCGTTAATTGTCATTTTACATAATTCTTCCCGGCGACAAGCTCCCGCAATTCCAATTATAAAAGCTACCTAAAAAATAACATATTGTAATGTTACAAATAATTTATTAAACATTAGGAAATATCTTGACGTTGCGCATGTAAAACTCCAAATAAATGCTATTGTAAAAAATATAAAAATGTTAGGTATAATGTGCTGCCTAACAACCCCGGTGGCCTGTTAGGACAGAAACTAATTTTGTTAGGCAACACACCATACGAACACACATCTCGTTGCAAAACTTTACAGAATATTTTAATTTTATACTGAGCATTCAAGCATTTACTAAGGCATTTACTTACTTTGATCATTAAAAACTTGGAATTTGGAGCTTTCAACAGAAAATTAATTAGATCTTGTCGTTCAAAAATTTTGGTTTTTTTTTGTTTATAACCTTTATTTTTTTGTTTGAGAAACGCTATTAACTTGTTGAATTTCGAAATATCAACGTTGTTTTTATATTCTAAGGTGCTTTTAAGCATATATTAAATCGACCATAGGGTAGAAGCTTTGCAATTCTTCAATTCATCAGAGAAATATGCTAAAATAACGTTTTCCGAATATTTTGTCACCTTATTCTTCCTACACCATTCTATAAATGCATTGTATTTTTGCTGATAAATATATGCAGATTTTTCTGGCAATAAATTTTCAGTGGCCTTTTGTTCACTGCATAAGATATCTGGGGGAGTATTATCAAATTCGCTATCGCTAGATAAATTTGAATCCATATCGATTATGACAGATATAATAAATTGCAAATAAAATTTGAATTTAAGTAAACAAACATTAAAAAGTAAAACTTTTTACCTTCTCAAACATGATTGAGTTTAAAAAAATTCTAAATTAGCTTTAGAATCTAATCTTGAACTTAAGTATACTTTTGTCGTGTTCTGTTATAAGGTAGGTACTAATTAAAAGTTTAGAGATTGACAGTTCTTCTAATCCACACAGCCACGGCCAACTTACTTTTACCAAAATCGACATCCACTGTATGTTTAATTTTAATTAAATCGATGACATTTAGAGAAAATTATAATTAAAATAAACTGTTGATAATTTGTTGGACACTAAATAGATATAAGCAAAAATAATTTATTTATTTGTCTTAGAAGGAGATAGCAAAAAAATGTTAGTATAAAATAAAACGTTATATTTTATTGCTATGTACAAATTTTGTCAAATTTTACTTTTTTAACAAGTGCGTAAAGTACGTACTTTACGCACGGTAGTAGAAAAAGTACATTTTACTTTTATTTTAATAGAGAAAACATATAGAGATTTTAATAATGTTAATTTAAAACACTTCTCGAAAAATGGATCAAAATTAGGTAAATGCACAAAATTACTCAACATTATTTATGACAAAGAACAAATTCTTTTTTTTTTAGAAATTATTGCAAAGGAAAAATAACGCATAGAGGTATTAATGAAACTTTTAAAAAATTACGTCAAAATTATTATTGAAAAAATATGAAAACATCTATCATAAATTACATTAACGCTTGTTCAATTTGTCAAAAAAATAAATATGCTGGACAAAACCCATATGTTCCGCTAATTCTTACTAAGTTACTGAGATAGCTACAAGACCTTTCCAAATTGTACACATGGACGCATTTTCTTAACATACAAAAAATATTTGACCCTAACATACTGACAAAATTATTCCAGGAAAAATCTCAATTTATGTCAGTAAAGCACTGATTATATATTTCAATTCATTTGGCCTTCCTCAATTAATTGTAGTAGGCAGAGGCACTAAATTTATTAACGAGACAGTAAAAAATATTATACCATCACAAAAAGTTAATTTTACAACTCCTGGTCACCATAAATCTAACTCCATAGCTGAACGAATACATTCGACAATAATTGAACACTTAAGACTTTTACATGAAATTTCCCAGATGAAACAGATTTAATGGACTATGCAATAACTCTATATATAGTTCAACAAATTTTACTCCATTTGAACTTATCTTCAGACACACTGACTCTAGAAATCCTAACTAAATTTTCCTTCCTTACGATTTTTATACACAGATTACGTAAATACCTACAAAGAAAAATTAGGCAGCAATATGCACTTTCAAACTGCAAAGAAGTTACTCAAGATGTCCAAATTCCCCCTATGAAGTTAAACTGTTGAAATATTATAAATGTATCAGAAAATGTCAGCGAAATAAAAATCCAGTAGTTTGAAAAGAACCAATGGATTTTTATCACACACCATAGTGTAGTAACAAAACAAAAATGTGGTAAAACTATAGACAATGTCCTTATAAATACGTTTATCTGCACTTATGATGAAACTGTTTGATACAATTTGGCTACAAAACTTCTAGGTTGCATAACTGAACATTATTTGTCGAGTTTCCAGTGATACCTAATTCAAAATAGGAGGAAATTGGTAGACTATACACTATACAGTTCTAAGTGGTATTTCCATATATACCTTCACTTCAAAGGCGCAAAATTTATGAAAGAATGGATCTTCCTTAAAACCAGTCTTACCTGAATTTGCCGTTCCTGTCCCTAGGAGTACGTCGATCCCCTCTGATAAGATATCCGTATCCTGGTAGGAGATGGAGAAGGTTGCGTCGTCCTGGAGCTTAGCCAACATGGCAGCCAAGCTATTCCGATCGAGATCGTCAGGTTCTTTAAGCTGTAGCGTGACGTTACCGTCAGAGGCCGTGCTATACATAAAGACGGCATGGCCTCCGGGGTATGGTTGTAAGGGGAGACGGACACCTGCTAGCTCATGAATGCCCTGAAAAAAAAAACATCTATAAATTTCATAAAAAATAATAAAATCATTTACTAACAATATTTTACGATGTTTCCACTAAAAACCTTCCCTCAATTATTATTGTTTATAGAAAGGACACACCTAAACCCTTTTTAGTCTGAATTTTCTGCAGATGATTATCATTTATAGCATAAACATTTATGAAAGGGTTTCTCGCCCCTAAAAAAGTTAGTAAGACACTTGTTTGTATTGAGTTTTATTAGATTTTTATTGTACCACGTAATAAGACGTGTTAACCCTTAACTAGTGACGTGGTGCCACTAGCGACCCCAGAGAATATCCGAGACCGCATTACTCCTAGACGCATGCACGAATCTAGACCGCCGCTTCAGTACCTTCAAGTTGATCAGTTGTGAGTGTGATGCTAACAAATTCACGTCGGTTGTCTGCATAATATTCGCAATGTAGGTACGCAAAGCCAACGTGGGGTCTCTCGTGACCCCGTGTCACCAGAATAATGTCGAGTAAACCTAAAGTAGTTCAGTATGGAGACTCGAATTTTGAAAATACACTACTAAGGTGGTCCGAGGAAATCGAAAATGAAGATGACGCAAATGAAGAGGACCCCGGTCAACAAAATGATTGCTTGGACGAAGAAAGAAACTTAGAAGATATCGTACAGAGTGAAGATACGGCTACTGACACAAGTTACTCTAGCGATGATGATGATGAGCTACCAGAAGAAACTACGGATTCAGAAAATAACCGAGCTTATTATGGGAAAAATAGATTCAAGTGGTCTCAATCTGATCCTATGCGGAACAGAAGAACAGAAGCCCACAATATTGTTAGGTTTATCCCAGGACTAAGGGGACCCATGAAAAATTTCAACAATGCAGATCCACATAGTATTTGGAAGCATTTGTTTAATGATGAAATGATAGAGGAGATCGTAAATAGGTCAAATGAAAAATTAAGCAGGGAACGGACAAAATACAAGAGAGAAAATAAACCTGAAATAAACGACATAGATATAATTGAACTGAAAGCTTTCTTCGGCCCACTATATTACTCCGAGGCCTACAAATCAAATTACGAGCACTTAGGTGCTCTGTTTGCGACAGATGGAACTGGTCGCGACATATTCAGAGAAACACAATGTCGCTCAAAAGATTTTTGACTATTTTATCTCATTTGAGATTTGACAATGCTGATGACAGAATCATGAGAGTACTTGGAGACAAAGCTGCAGCGATATCCGGCCTATTTGACAAACTCGTTAGTAATTCACAGCAGTGTTACTGTGTAGGCCATTATGTGTGTATTGATGAGATGCTGGTAGGTTTCAGGGGCAGATGCCCCTTTCGTATGTATATGCCCAATAAACCGAATAAGTACGGGTTGAAAATTATGATCTTAGCTGACGCACGAACATCATATTTGTATAATGCATACATATATACTGGAAAAAACAGTGATGGCCGCGGACATTTCTGATGCCGAGAGAAAATTAGCTGTGCTAACGCAATCAGTGTTGCGGTTATGCAAACCAATTTACGAAACTAATAGAAACATTACTGCCGATAATTGGTTTTTATCCTATGAATTGATTCAGTCTCTAAAAACACACAATTTGACATATGTTGGGACAGTCAGAAAGAACAAGCGAATGATACCCCCAGAGTTTCAACCCTATTTAGCTAGAGCAGAAAGTCTGCTTAATATGGATTTACTGCTGATATGACTGTGTTGTCGTACGTTCCAAAAAAACGGAAAGCAACTATCATGATATCGTCTATGCACCATACCATCAATACTGATTAAGAAATCCAAAAACCAGAGATTAATAGCGTTCTATAATATAACTAAGGGTGGCGTTGATAGTTTAGACCAGCGCTGTTCCAACTACATCACTAGTAGAAGGACAAGAAGGTGGCCAATGTCAGTGTTTCATATCATACTTGACATCGCGAGTGTAAACGCATATATACTGTATGGTTGTTTTAGAAGTAATGACAGCATGTCTAAACTAAATTTTATAAAAAGGCTGTCATTTCAATCGGTGGAAGAATATCTCAACAGAAGACTTCGAACCTTATGTCTACCGCGAGAATTAAGACTCTCAGCAGAATATTACAGAAACCTCTAACTGAAATTAGAAACGTAGCTGAGGAAGTCAACAATAAAAGAAGACATTGCGGAAAATGTCCTAGAGGAGCTGATAAAAAGACAAGTATATTTTGTAAATTATGTAAAGTAGCAATATGTGCAAATTGCACAAAAAAAATTTGCTAAGATTGTTAATAATTAGAATGTTCATATTTTGTGATTTTTTTCAATAAATATTTTTTCTGCCTTCTTTTTATTACTTTTTATCAAACTAAGCTGTTCATTGTAATTTTTTTTATGTTTTATATTTCTATGAATGCTTTTTTAATTTCTTTTTAAATAAAACGATAACATTTACAGAATACTTATCTTTTTTCTTAGCATAATACTTTAAGCGAAAAACAAATTATTGTTTTATAAAATATTAATAAATTTATACTATGTTAACTGAGAGATGATCAATAATGAGAGTCTCAAAAAATACGAATTACGTATTTTTTTTTCTTCTTTTTTGAGGATTTTTTCTTGGGTACTCAGGGCCCCCACGTCACTAGCTGCGTAACAAATAAACCGCGTCACCAGTTAAGAGTTAAGTCCTTTTGTAGATTTAGACCATCACTAGCGCTTTAATTAGGTTTATATAATTTTAATCATCTGCGAAAAGCAAAAACTTTGAATGGGAGAGGCACTACGCTGTAACCTACAAAATGAACTTGGTGATTCCACCAAAATTTTTAAACTTAAAAAAAAAATTATTAAAGTATTAACTACAATTAAAAATGTTGTCTACTACGGTTACACAAGTTTCGGTTGTTCCGGTGTCAACCTTCGGGCCTTCGACGTCGCTCAGACGGCAGCTAGGGGGTGGATAGCTTACAAAAATTCCGGAAATAGTAGACAAATAAATAGGCGCCAACTGGGTCTATATAGTGGCCAAACTATGATCCTATTTCCCCAAAAACCCAGTAAATGAGGAAAGAAATAAAAGACAAACCTCAACTTATGTTCCTTTATAAAGAAAAAAAAAATATTTAGTAAATATACAAATTAATTACCTGATGGCTTAGATAATAGAAAAAAAAAGTTGGAGGAAATTAAAAGAAAAAAAAAAACTTACACAGTGTATGTATATGCATAACCCAAAAAAATTAATAAATGTATCAAAGTATGGAACGGTTCGTCGTTAGCTTGGTACCAGGCATGACGCTTGCGCAAAACATTAATTTCCACCTTACATAAAAAAAAAATATAATATAATAGTTAACTTAAATATTGTGCATCACCGTACCTATACTACTTCATATATTATAAAACAGTAAACTTATAATCTTTATAATCTTATAACCCTCTCCAAATTGGAAGGCGATATCTGCTTAACTTTTGGTTAAGACCAAACTACCCAAAAGAAAATTATTAAACCATGAAATTTTATAATTAAGTATAATTCATAGAACTAAATAAAAATATCAAAAAAAATAATAGAAATACAACATATAAAGGACTTTAGACAGAGGTTATTTAATTAAACTCCCAGATTGGAAGAGGTTACTTAATCTCTGCCCCCACACGGGTCTTCTGAGATTGCTTAACTTATAGTTAAGTCTGGTCCATTTAATAATGAATAAATTGAATAAAGTAAAATTATGGCAGTAGCCCTTAATAACTGAAGAATTACAACTTAAACGTGGAAGCAGTCCAAGTGTTCTGCGACCCGAAGGATTACTACATCAGCATTAAGTGCTTAAATTAAGTAAAAGCTTTAAAATATTAATCAATTAAACGATGTAACATTTGATAATACTTAAGTTATGTGTGAAAGAACCCTAGAACATTCTGTGCTCAAAAGTATAAATAATGTTGAGAATACCTTGACAACATTCGGTTGAAAGTGAATGTATAGTTTAACAATGCACACATGAAACCTTCAGTATAAAGTATAAAAAAAACCTGATAGTAGGGTGTCTTCTTTCACAGCATTCCCATCTTCCTATCCAGAACAAGAAACATTCTTGTAAATCTAGCTACAAGTAAACTAGGTGGCTAGCATACCAATGTTCTGTGTCCCCTCGATGAGTCCACGATGAAACCGTTGAACTCCGGACGATATAACCCTCTGTGTACAACTGTTGAAATCCTGGGTCAACAATCCCTTGGGTCAAACTGTCGTCGAATCCTGGGCTAACAACCCCCTGGGTTAAACCCTTTTTCGTAAAGGGTTAACTTGGTAGCCTTTCAAGGATGAGAACCACGTGAGATGATTCACAGCACAACAATATTCCACACTCCAAATGCTGTGAACTCCCGACTATTGCGTTAAAATCCTATATTAGATATGGGCTGGACCAATGACCATGGGAATTTACCAATTCACTAAAATTCCCCTCAAAATACGAAATGTCCATTTACCCACAATTAACCATGAAATAGAATCTAAAATCCCCTTTAATTAGGGTAAGCCGATGGGGCTAAATATTAAGAAAATTCTATTTCGACACAAAAATCGTCTCTCGTGACTGAATACCCACTGACAGAAAAAAAACAATACGTCAGCCGTCCAAAATGGCCGAAATCCCTTTCCGATAAATGTCAAGTGGGTTCAGAAATTCATCCTCAAGAATTCCCCACTATATAACTTAACAGACCATTTACGAAAGGTACCCTAAAAACTATATTTATATACAGTATAACTACATTTGGGAAACTGTTCCCAACAAAAATTAATAAACAGCGATCGCAAAAAAATCCCTCACGACTTAAAATCGCTCATTGTGAAACTACCTTACCTCGGGTTCTGAGCCCGATATTGGAACGTTCCACCAACATGACACTTGTCGGTGTTCTGTCGTCAAATGACGTTTATGTCATTCACTGTCATAAATAAAAAAAAATATTAACCTAACCTGACATCTATAACAAAAATAAACAAAGTCAAATCTTAAAGAATGGTTTCGTAAATAATTAATTAAACAAAGGTGAGACTATAATACATAATATATATAAATTTACAACGAAACTTGGTCTATTTTTAGGAGAATCTGGCAAATTAAAACAGCAAATATGACCATTGTACAAAGTATTATACTACCTTTTACTTAGTGGTGAGATGAAATAAATTATAAAATGATGTCCGAAAGTTAGAATACAGATGAAATTAGTTAATGACAAAAATAATAGTGATATCATCAATACGATTTTAACCTTTTTTTTCGTATGATTAACCAGGTAAGCCAAAACAATTTTATTAATTCGTGGGGCCAAAAATGAACGTTACAACGCTATGTCGTTAATGAACAGGTTGAAGACGATTGGCTCTAAGTGTGATCCTTAAGGAACACTTGATGTTACCTTTTATCTCTATAGATTTGAAATTTTCTATGCCAGCAATTTGCTTTATGCAAGTAAGATAAGTCCTCATTCAACTAAGGAAAAAACAATTTATTCCTAGAGTCTTAGGTTTGTATAACATATAGCTTTATGATTAACGTGATCGAATGCTTTAAAGAAATTCATATATTCTATCTTTCTGAACTCCTTTTTCAATGGCAAGTGAGAAGATTAAGTTCAGTGGATATGGAGGACGAAACCATATTGTTGGACAATTAGAACCTTTTTAAATAAAGGGATAAGAATGTCACAAATATAAAAACCAATTTTTTTTAAAAAAGTGGGTGGTTAGTTTCAAATAAATATCTGATTCAAATTCTGTGACTAACGAGGTTGATATTACCAGTATCACAGAGAGAAAAGTTAAGAATTTTAAAAGTATTAAAGTTTAAAAATTTGTAACAACATAATGACTTGTATTCATTAGATTCATATAACAGTAATAAAGTCATCCTCATTCACCCCAGAATGCCTATATCCCATCTCTGTTGAGTTAAAAATCACAAATTAAATGATTTGATAAACTGAATTCTTGTATATGAGTATGTTAGTGCATACCCATTTTTTACCCATTCAGGCATCCCTGAATAATTGAATAATCCCTGAATAATTGTAAGAAGTTTAATCCTAGAACGCAGGTAGTGTTAAAATCACTTTAGACCGGTCAAATTAACCGGTGCTATATGTAATACCACCATATCGTTGCAGATATTAAACAAAACGACCTTATATGCATGCAAAAATGTAACAAATTACATCCAGACAGGAGCATAAATAAAATTGGATCACGTACGCCCCCCATAAAATTGTACACGCTTGATCGGCCTTGATTATATTACGCTCTAAAACAAAGCAAAAGGACCGTTCGATAGACAGTTTAATCGGAAATATAAAAAGCCATGTAATGACATCGGGTAGCGTTTGAAGAAGCGCTCGTAAAAGAGGTTTTACTGCTCTATGGTATAAAATACAGTCCTATTACGATTCAGACACCGCGGTGGATGGTCGTAAAACGTTCGCTTTTTTGTCTGACCAATTATTGTCTAGTTGCACATTAAGAAAAATGACAAGATTATTTTCAGTTGGGCACTGAACGCTATAAAGTTACCGCTTTTTCGCGTTTAAATCAGAAACTCCAGATGCTTATTTAAAATGTTTCATTATTATTCCGAAAGATATAATTTTTTATGATTGTAATATTTTTCAAAACGTACATTTTTTCTTTATAAAGTGTACATAATAAAATGGTTGGAAGATGTAGACAATGCACAAAAAATAAAGGGTATGTTAAGAAAGAGAAAAACTAGAAACTGGCAAAAGAAAACAGCATACAGAAGAGATTGGTGAAAAATAGTATAAGAAAATAATTTTATATATACGCAGGGCAGGAGTTAATAATTAGCACAAAAAGAATTGGAAAACAGTTTAAATTTTTCTTTTTAAAGAGACACCGAGGTCCTTTTTTAATGACTTAATAAATAAACTGTATAATTAATTTTAATTCATTTTTAGAACTTTTTAACACTTTTTTAGGACTTTTTTATTTTTCAACTTTTTTACTTTTTCACTATATATTTTATTTTTATTTTTGTAAAATTTAAATAGTAAATCTATTACTATTAATATTCTTAAATTTAAATTTTAACTCTACTTTCCATTTTCAAAACAAGTACATTAGTATTTATCGATACTCTAACTGTATTTATATTTTGTAAACACTTATTTCTAAGTTAATTATTATTATATTATTATTTTCTGAACTTCAAGATGCCTTCACCAAATTATTTTAATAGTTATCTCAATCCGCACTAGGGCAAACAACAAACTCTCAATCAGCTTTACTTACAAATCTAATTACTGACTATTTGAAATACCCTGTATATTGCAGTTATCTAAATTAATGTACTGAATAACCTATCTGCAATATTTTTATTTTTAAAAGTTTAAAGTTTAAACAAGTAGGGGAGAGTGGGGCACAGAGGACCAATTAAGGCCAAAAGTCGTTATACTCCTTTATCACTATTGATAAAAATTACACTATGTAAGATACTGGGGCTACACCTATGCGGTATTGACTGATGCATATACCTGTACAAAATCTTACTTGGTATGGACTCTATTTTGAAAAGTTTGACTGTATGTATTCGGTTCTCTCTGCCCCATACCTTGGGGCTCAAAGGACCGCTGTGTTACTTGTATATAAAAAAACTAATTCCGAATTCAATAATGATAAAAAAACAGCTTTTATTGAAAAACGAACCACAAAACACAATAATAATGGTTTATATTTAAAATAAAACATTAATGCTCATTTTTGACAAAAATAAACGCTAGGTTCTTATCTTAATCACACTTTGCGGATAGGAACTGATCGTCATCTTCTGTTACACCTGCACACATTTGGTGGGCCCAATTTCGGCACAACTGGCATTGAATCCACCCTTCGTCAGTTTTGGTCTTTAAAAATTTTCCAACACAATATATGCATTTTGGATTAATTTCATCGTCTGATTCGCTAGAATCGTCATCCAGCCTCCGTTTTGTTTGAAGTTTCTTTCTCTTTTTTTATAAATAGTTGCTATTTTGAAGACTTTTTCCTTTTCCAGAAGATGAGAAGCATTTTCTAATAACCTGCTTACCTTTTTCAGAATTCTTTTTCAGTGATGCATTTCTCTTGTTTTTCTTGAATTTCGGCTTCTAGAGAGTCTTTAAACGGCGTTGTTGTTAATGATTCTGCTTGAAAGAGTAAAACCAAATTTGGTAGATTTTCTCACAAGTGTGAAAATCTACCAAATTTGGTTTTACTCTTTCAAGATCAAATGGATTTTCATCAAGTAAAGGCTGAAACAATAAATAATTCTTCTGCTGTTTAAGCTTTTCGTTTGGTATTTGGTTTTCGTTTGCACATTGGGTGAAATTGTAGCCAATATTTTTTCAAAATCATCTCCTGATGGATCCTTGGCAGTCGACGGACCTGGTGTTAGTTCAGAAGTGTCCATTTTTCGTGAGGTTGAGGGTACTGGTAATAATAGTCCTGATTGAACAGTTTTATCCTCTGGGACCAGTTCTGGGTTATTATCGAGGATAAGACTATGCTGCAGCCGGTTCTGCATTAAGTTGATTATTCTCTCTATTATCAAGATATGCTGCCACTTGTGGAGTGACCGACGAAGGAAGGAAGTCAGTATCCGAAAATACATCAGGATTTAGCGAACAAATACCTGTTACATAAAAATCCTTGACGGCTTTTTCTAGGGTGGCAACTTATAAAAATGCTTTGCAAAAAATCTCCATAACATCATTGATTGATATTCTTTGAGGTGCGTGATTGGAAAGCCATTTATCACATTCTCGCGCATATTGTCCTTTTAACGGTCCATAAAAAGAACAGTCAAGCGGCTGCATACGATGGCTTGTATGAGGAGGAAGAGAGATCAACACAATATTTAAACTACGGGCCTTTAAAATGGCATCCAGGTTGTGATGTCTGGAGTAATTATCGATTATTAACAACACTTTTTAATTTTCGGATACACGTACGTGTTTAGCAAAGTGTTCTAAATATTTAAGAAAGTACTCACTATCCATCCATCCGCTACTATTTGCATATCTCACAGTTTCAGCAGGGCAACCCTTCATCAATTTCAGACATTCTTTTTCTAGGGAAAAGCACAAACGGAGGAATGTAAGAACCTGAAACTGATATTGCACATGTTACATGTTACTGTGCTGACTATGCGGCCTACTTGCTTGCGTTCCTTTTATGCAACAATTTTTCGTGGCTTAGGTACGGTATTCATGCCAGTTTCGTCAGCATTATATATTTGGTCAGCTTGAAATTTGTACTTCTTCATCACCAAGGACAACAAATCATAAAATTTAGTAACCTGCACTTTATTAAAACCAGCCGCTTTCGCAATAATGGTTGGTTCAGAATCTTTTAGTGATACATTCGGATGCCTTTTTTTTCTTTGTTGAAGGGATGAGCAATGTTCATCTTCTCTGCTACGTGAAGAACAAATTTTCTTATATCAGTGGGCCCCAGACCATAAAATGTTGTTTCTAAGTCAAGGACATATTTAACAATTTGTTCTTCTTGACTTTTAGTGAATACTTGTTTAAAGTGATCATTTCGCGAAAGCGTAACATTATTACTTTTAATACGCCTTAGAAGACACGTTTTCGGGACACCATATTGCTTGTCTGCCTTTTTGATGGATAATTCACTCCTGTTTACAGCACTGATGGCATCTTCAACATCTTGGATAGTCCACTCTGTGACAGGCTTCTTTTTTTTTATACGTACGTACCATCTGAATTATAAAATATAAGAATTATCTTTAGCGGGGCACGCAGGACCAAAGAGGGGGCACAGAGGACCAGATGTTGGTCCGCTCTGCCCCGAATACACACTTCAGAGGAAATTATAGGTCATGAAATCTACAGGTAGAATTATTGGAACATATCATGTCCTTATAAGACCTTATTAATGGGAGTTTCAAATGCATGCAACACGTAAACACATCATTACAATTTTAAATTATTTACAAGGCAATAAAAATAAATAAATATTACATCACATACCTTGAAAATCACTTTTTTGGCCACAAAACTGCACGAGTTGTCGAATCGGCGATCATAGACTAATAGACTGATAGAAAGATGTGCGGACTTTAATATATTGTAAAGCCGACAAGGTGGCAGCACGTATAGCAGAAATATAAACAAAGTCATTTGTGTCCCGCCAGTCCTATGTGCCCCACTCTCCCCTACCTTCCTCTTCCTAATTTAAATTAAGAAAATTAAAATTCCACAGTTGAATTTTAACTAGGTACTTAAAATACGAATACAATATAGAATACCTTCGAAATTATTCAAAATATTCCAAAAAAACTATTCGTTACAAATTTTAACTTCCTCTCGACATTTTTTATCTAGCTATTTATCTAAAAATTTAGCATATCTCTTCAATTACACCAGTTAAGTTTCCGTGATTGTTTATTCATGGTTCTAATTGGCGAGACACAGTAATATGATGGCGTTGGTATTAACGATAATGATTGCAGTAGCAGTCGCCTCTCCCCCTTCCCACTCCAACCTCCATGCCATTCTGCCGCCCTCGCAGGCATTCGCCAGCCATAGAATGTCACGCGAACTGTTAGAACTGTCTTTAATATGCAATCAGCTCATTAGGACACTTGACGACCCGTCACGAGTAAGTTCAGGAACACGCGACAATTTAGCCACTTGTTGGAGTAAAATCAAGAATTTCATTTACTTTCCTATCATCTAGGGTAAGGTTTAATTAATATAAACGAGAGATTCTAAAAACATATACTGTAACGTCGTATTAACGTGACACAAAACTTCGGTTGTCTCATATGTCAACCTTTTGGCTTCGGTTCACTCTAGAGTGGGTAATTACTTTGTAATCTTGGAAAAATACAATAGTTTTAATGTTGAGTTGGATGCCAGGTAGATCTTTATTATTGAGCCCCTTTAAATCCAGAAAAGTCCTACTTTTATATCTACCAAATAAATAGGTCATAAAAAGACAACCTTACCTTAGATCTTGTTTATT